GGGGGGAGCGGGTTGGGGAGGGTTAACGGCAGCGGGGCCCGCGCCGGCCTGGCCCCGCCCCTCGCGCGCGCAGCGAGGCCCCGCCCCGTCCCTCGGTGAGGGGCCCCTCGGGGACCCTCCAGGCGGCCAAATTTCGGTGTCAGGAGCGACTGTTTGGTGGTTTTGCCTTTCTTTTATTCTGCCGCATTGTGAAAGGTGGAACGTTCAGCAGCGCTCTTTAAAAGCTTCTGCTTCTGCGAAGCTGAAGTCTCGATTTCGGCTGAGATCTCGGAGGTGCCTGTCAGACCTCCTGCCAGCCCCAGAGCTGCTCGGAAGAGCAGGGGGTCGGCTTTCACCGTTTGGGGAACTCTTTGTAAATACGAAAATCAAAATAGAGATGTGGAAGATGTGTAAAGGAAGCTATTCAGTGAGTCCCGGGTTCAGTGGTCGCTTCAGATCAGTGCCTTCTTTTGTCCTGAGCATGTTTTTTGACATTTATTGTAACGTTTTTATGCTCTGGAGTGTTCCTAAATGTCTGATTTTTATTAAAAGAATATCTGTAAGCCCTAATGGGGACACAAACACCAGTGTTAACATGTGATCGCATAAAGAGAGCTTTCCTTCCTTAGCTGTCTTGGAGTCTAATTAATGAACTGGCAACAAACTATGATCTGTTTTATTCACAGAAGAGGTTAGGAGGGAATGAGAAGTAGAAACGTTGGCTCTGCTAGGCTGGCGCTCAGTTCCACAAAGTGATTCTTCTCATGGTAAAATTGTATGGCCTTTTGGTGCTCTGTGTGGGCTGGAGAGGTTGCACCCACAGCTGACCAAGTCAGGAGAGGTTTGTTAGCTTATTATACACAGGGAGGTGCACCTAACTATCGAGGAATTAGCAGGTAGAAATTATGTTGATAGGTGTACTGGAAATAATGGGTCTTGTCATTCATTTAAGTGGCACCATGTGTCAGAAGTTGCAGATGACTTTCACTGCCATAGTGAGTTATTTTGATGATGCTATTCTAAAAATAAGTTAATGAGTATTCTTGCTTTTGTAGAGAGGCTTTGTATAGGGAGCTGTGATGTTTAACTCCTGATTTGTATTGTGTTGCTAACAAATCATCATTTGTCTAAGTTCCTGAAATGCTCTTTTTGGCAGACATCTTTTTTCAGAGCTGTTGTAGGGAGACCCAATTTTCTGGGTGCATGTGCCAGGGTCAGGATTTGATCTGTCATACCTTTTAGTGCAGATTGGCTTTTCTACAGAGTTCTCAGGAAGAAACAAGAAGCCCAGGGTAAATGTGGCAGTCATTCTACCTTATGTAAAGTGTTGCAATTTTTCACTTCACCCAGTTTTATGTTCCACTTAGAGTGAAGGATGAAACTGTTACGGAATAGTTTGTTTGGGGAGAGCATTGAATGTAACTGAATAAAATATTGCTCTATACTTTAATTAGGTTTCTTTTTACTAACCTCCAATGTCCAGGTAGCAAAATCAAATTGAGTTAGTAAACTGATAAAAATGCGATGCTTCTTTGATATGAGTTTGCAAGTCTTGCTGTATCAGTCTTTCCTGGGTTCTTCCAGGACATCTGAAACTGGTCAGCTTAAAACTAATGTTCCTTAAATAATTTTTCTTATATCTTACAATGCAATGTGATCTGCTCTGAGTTAATTGCAGGTTTGAAAAGGTGTAAGCTAAATGGAAGCCTGATATAGTGTTAATCATTAAAATACTCACCACCTTTTTCCCTTTGTTTACAGGAGCAGCAGAGAATTATGGACAATTCTTCTGGGCAGATCAGCTTTAAGAGAACCAGTAAGTCCATGTCTTGCTAAGCAGGTTTGTCCATCACTGAATGGACTCCATAGTCAAATATATCATTTGTATATCTCTTTGAATATTAGTGAAAATATGTTTTGCTGCTTTTCCCTCTTCCTCAGTGCAATTTTTGTTCCTCTATTTCCACTACTTGTTCATTCTTCCACTCCTTGTTTATAGTTGCTTCATGAACTACCTGGAAGGGCGTACGTGAAAAGGTCATTCCCTTTCTGGAGCGGATACAAATGCTACTTTCTAGACTGGCTGGCCTGGGGTATTCATGAGTGGCACAGCCTGCTTCCTTATTTTCAGGGACAGAGCCTGTGCTTTCAAGAATTGGCCCAGAGGTTGGAAATCCAAATGTTTCTGTCCCCAGTCCATTGCCTCCTATTTCTTCTTCCTTTCTGTGATTAGGCAAGGCAGCGAGCTGTCTCATACAATAATGCGCCTTGAATCAGTCTGATTCACAGATTCTTGTCTTGTGGTGTTCCTGTTTCTCTGTGGTGGCGGAATTCCTTTGCTTCGCTTAAATTTAACAAATCTGATACTCAGCAGTGTACATTGAGGAACCTGTTCAGTAGTATTTCGTTCTTTTTTTAGGCACAGATTGCAGCAGAATTGAACAAGCACTGGCAGAGATTGTTAGAGGGACTTTCATACTATAAACCGCCAAGGTATTGTAATTGCCTGATTTTAGAAATTAACCTCTAAAATGGGGTCTCATAATAAGTAGAGGAGCATGTTGAATATTTGTCCCTGATTACATGAAAATAGATATTTACTCTCTTACCTGACTAGAGGTTT